GAGGGGCTGGGGGGCCGGGGGTCGAGGGAGGGCTGGAGGAGGTCTTGGCTGAGCAAGCGAGTGTAGGAGGGGTACTGCTGGTCCTGCTAAGATTTTTTTAAAAAAAGATTAATTTAATTATATTTATTGCTATTATTATTTTTTAATTGTTATTTAAAATTTTTAATTGAAATTATTATTATTATTTTAAATTTTATTTAACTTTATTTATTTTAATTTGACCAGAGCGGGGGAGAGAGCGAGAGAACAGAGAGAAAGTGAGAAAGCAAGCCGCCAGGTCCGGGACTTGAACCACAGTTGGCCATGTGGGAGTCCAGCACCCTTAACCACCAAGCCATTTGCCAGCCCCAAAATTCTTATTATTTTTAATTGGACCAGAGAGAGGGAAAGCAAGAAAGCAAGCTGCCAGGTCTGGGACTCAAGCTGTGGTCAGTCAGGTGGGAATCCAGTTCCCCAACCACTACACCTCCTGCTGGCTCCCTGAGCTAAGATTTAATTAGTTCTAATTTTATTTCTCATTATTTTTCCCTTCAAAGCAGGACATATAAAAATGACAGTTTTAAGAGAACAGCATCCAGACCCTTTCTGTAAAAGAGGCTTTTCACCAGGATTTCCTCTGGGGGTGACGTGCTGATAGCTACCTAGGAATGAGCAGTCCCCACTCTGTGCCTACCCAGAAAAGATTTGTGTCCTTATTAAGGAGAGTCTGGGAGATGGAATCTTTTCTTAGTCTTTAGTGTGTGTCCATTTCTTTGCAGAGGAAGCCATACTGCAAAGACGTCACTGGCACCTGTGGACGTGGGATTAGGACGTGAGCTGCCAGCCACCAGCAGGAGCAGGTGAGTCACCTGGACACAAAGATCCTGTTTGGACCTCAACATATGCACAAAGGAGGTTTTTTGGGTTTTGTTTTTGGTTTTTGGTTTTTGGTGGGTCTCTGGTTTTCCTCCAGTGCCAGTTCTGCCTTTGTCCTGGTGGATTGCCTAGGCAACCCATCCATGAAGTGACAGGAAGAGGGAAGAAAATCTGCCATGGCATCAAAGCCCTGGGTTCGAGCTGAGGCTCCTCGCTCGCCGTGGGTATGCAGTCTAAATTCCCTGGATCTCAATGTCCTAATTAGCAAAATGAATACTATCAGCTCTCTCAGCCTCAAAGAACATTCAAGATGTGTTAAGTGAAAATACCAGGCAGGGCCAGCAGACATTGTAGTAGTTATGCCGCTGGACTCCCACATGGCTAACTGCAGTTGGAGTCCCGGACCCGGTGGCTTGAAAATTATGCCAGGTGCATATATGTGTGTGCCCAGGAGGAGGAGAAGGGATTGCAGTGTGGCCAATTGATTTCTCACTTTCCCTCTCACTGTCTCTGTCTCTCTCTCTGGCGAGCAAACGTTCCCTAATGCAAAAACTTCTATTAAAAACAAACAAACAAACAAAAAACTACCAAGATACACAAATGTGGTTTTTAAACTTTTAAACCTTATAAAACTGTGCGATAGGGAAACTACGCAGGGCCAAGTTGTTAGAGAAGAGAGAGCAGGTGACTTCTCAGTCACCTGGGGGCTGGGCCTCTTCCTGGGCCATGTGCTCCTGAGAAATGAGACAGTGTTGCTCCCTGTGCTCTACAAGACCCTGCAAGGTCTGGCTCCTTCCTACTTCACTAGCCCTGGAAGCTCATTTTCCTCTCTTCTCTTCATCTAGCTCTGCTACTCACCCTTTGCCTTTTACCCAGTTATCGCTTTCTTAGGACACCCATCTGAGACTCCCTGACTAGGTGAAATCCCTCCTATCACATGATTTTATCGAACCATGTTCCTTTTCAAATTTGGAAAGTGTTTCAATTCTATCTGAGTGATTTTACATTCATACCTGTCTTCTCTACTTGCCTGAATGCAGGGCAGGGATACATTTGTCTTATCATTTTATTCCTAGTTCCTAGAATAGTGCCTGCCACATGATTGGTGCTCAAAAAATATTTGTTAAATGAATGAATGAAAGACCAGATGGATGATTGGTGGAAATCATTCTTTCTTATAGACACTGTGTGGATGAGAAAATACTTGAATATTTGAACCTTACCCCTGGTTGAAACATGGCCGAAAGTAGCTTTGAAACTTTATCGAGAAGGACTAACTGATAAAATGGACATTGGAGGAGCCAGACAGTGATGCAGTAATGTAACTGGACCCACTGGACCCTGTATAAGCTGGGCTGAGGGTGAGAGTGGATCCTGATGTATCCTGTCTTAGTCTGTTACTGTGTTGTTAACAGAAATACCTGAGACTGGGTGGGTATAGCAAAATGGAGGTTTATTTGATTCATGATTCTGGTGATTGGAAGGTCCAAATGTCTAAGACTGGCACTGGGCATGGTGAACAGAAGCAGAGAAGGTGGCTAGCACATGCAGAGAGAGCAACCTGGGACAGCCACCTTCCTTTCATTACAATCCACTCTTTCAAGATCTAACCCTGGGGCCAGTAGATGGCATGATGATGGGTAATTTAGGCACTGGACTCCCACATGGCCAGTCACAGTTCAAGTCCCAGACCTGACAACTTGAAAATCACAGCAGACGCGTGTGTGTGTGCATGCCCAAACCCAGAGAGGGTGTAGAGAGGAAAGTGTTGCATTATGGCCATCTCCCCTAGCGGGTGATTTCTCACTTTCTCTCTGTGTGTCTTTCTATGTCTCTTCCCTGTGAGCATATACACCCTATAGCAAAAACCTGGAAAAAAAAAACAACATAAAGAAAGAGAAAAAAGGCTAACTGCTTCTAGGCTAGCCAGGTAGTTAATGTGGCTGGATCCCACATGACTGACTACATGGTTTGAGTCCAGGACTCCTTGGCAGGTGGTTTGAGAAACATGCTGGGCAAGTGTGCATACCTAAAATCTAAAGAAGAAAAGGCACTGTGACATGGTCATCTCCCCTGGAGATGCATTCTCAATTTCTCTCTCCCTCTCTCTATGTCTCTCTGACTCTGGCAATCACCTGAATCCTTTAGAAAATTTAAAAGGAAAGGAGAAAGGAAAGGAAAGGAAAGGAAAGGAAAGGAAAGGAAAGGAAAGGAAAGGAAAGGAAAGGAAAGGAAAGGAAAGGAAAGGAAAGGAAAGGAAAGGAAAGGAAAGGAAAGGAAAGGAAAGGAAAGGAAGAAGGAAGGAAGGAGGAAGGAAGAAAAAGAATCAACTTCTCATGAGAGCTAGAACTCAATAGGTCTCACAAGAGAGCAATCATTCGTACGTGAGGTGGATGTCAGGGTGATCCAGTCACTGCCCACCATCCTCTCCACCTCCCAATGCCATTACTCTGAGGGCCAGATTCTGAGACATCAACTTTGGGGGAACAAACTATTATCCAAACCACAACAAAGACCTTGTTAAGAGTGGCTCTCTCTCTTTCTCATGGAAGATATAGATCAACTTAAATAAACAAATGGGCCTTGAAAGACATTTTCTGACTTACCAGGGGCCAGAATACAACTCTGATCCAAATCGCCGTATTGTACGCAGAGATATGTTTACCTAAGAGTCATTTGGATTTGTCTATGCCGAGGGGACAGGCATGAAAGAACCTTTAGTGAAGGAAAAGGAGCATTCGGCAGAGATTTGACTCCAGGAGAAACCTGCTTAGAGTACGAAGGTAAAAGCTGCTAAAGATGAAGTTGTACCTGTGCAGAGTCCTCCCCTCCCCTTCCCTCCTCCACCTCCCCTCCCCTCCCTCCCTCCCTATCTTCCTTCCTTCCTTTCCAGAAAACAAACAACACAGTTTGGTTTATTTCCCTCCTTTCCTAAGGAGGGAGCTGGCCTGGGTTACCTCGGCAGGTTTGTGCTGGTGTGTGTGGATTCTCGCTTGAATGGCAGCTGTCTCGGGATGCCAGGGATATTTAATGGAGATGCAGGGGGCCTCTTAGAACCTCAAAGCTGAGCTGACAAAGTTTGGTGCCAGCTTGGGGAGGGAGGAGCCTTCTCAGAGCTGCAAAGAGCCCAGCACATCTCTGAGCTGAAGTGACCTGTTTGGGACATTGTCCTTCTGTAGGAAGAACTTTCAAAAAGTTTTTGCACCCATATAAATTTGTGTTTTATTATTATTATTATTTTAGAGAGATTTTGCTATAGGATGTGTGTGTACTCATTGGAGAGACAGAAAGACAGAAAGTGAGAAATCACCTTCTCGGGGGATGGCCACACTACAATCTTTTCTCCTCTCTTCTCCAATTGAGATTTTTGGCATGCACACACAAACACACATGACATGAGTTTTAAGCCACAGGGTCTGGAACCATGGTCAGCCACGTGAGAGTCCAGTGTCTTAATCACTATGCCACCTGCTGGCCCCATAAAGTTCTTTTTTTTTTTTTTTGAGAGGTTTTTGCTATAGGGTACCTGCACTCACCAGAAAGACAGAGAGAAACCACAGGCAAGAAATCACCCCCAGGGGGGATGGTCACGCCGCAATCCCTTCTCCTCCATTCTCTCGAGATCTTGGGCATGCACGCACATGCACCCAGCTTGAGTTTAAGCCACTGGGTCCAGGCCTTGAACTGTGGTTGAATACATGGGAGTCCAGTGACGTAGCCATTATGCTAACTGCTGGTCCCCTAAAACTTCTATTTTAATTCCATTTTTTAGTGAACCTTTTTGAAGTGCCTAAGTCCAGTACCTCTTCTTATTAGATTTTCTCTGATGGATACAATTTTGTACATATTTCTTTCTTGGTAATAAAAGGATCAAGTATATAATTAACGTCATGATTTTGAAAGCATTTTTTATACAAATAAAATCTCAACTCAGGAAAATGTATTTGCTAGCTACTGTGCCCAGATGTTTCATTCTGACATGAGGATTGTCACACCATCAAGATAATTGGTTCCTTGACAAATGGGACAGTGACCACCACCCCCAAAAATGAGGCAAAAAAGTACAGTGCGAGGAAGGGTAAGAACAAGAGAAAGGATTCAAGGGACATTTCTTTATTCCAGAGACTCCCTGGGAGAAGCTGGTCCTAGATGACCAGGGTCTTAGGTCTTGGTGTGAGGTGGAAGGAGTCATCTGACTTCTCCCCTGGAGCACAGGCTGGTGGGAGTCTCGGATCAGCCATCCAGGGCCAAGGCACTTCTTTTCCCACGCAGGCCGAGGAGATGAGGAGAAGCCCACCAAGAGCCAGGAAGGTCCCAGCAGCCCAGCCCAGGAAGAGGGCATCTCCAAGCTCCCACCGAGGGACGATCTCAGGGATGCTGTCATCCCAGAAGTCTCGGACTGTGGCATGGGCCACCCAGGAGACTGGAAAGAGGGTAGTGGCTGAAGCTGTTGCCTCTATAGTCCCTCCCAGGAGGCAAAGCCGCCTCTTCAGTACCCGTTGGATCCCGTGAAACTGGAAGCATTCCGACCCAAAGCCAGAGAGCAGCAGCCCCAGTAGTCCCAGCCCTTGGGAGACCACCATGAGGATGCGGGATACCTGGAGCTCCTGGGGCAGAGACAGGAAGGAATCGAAGGACTGGCACACGGTGGCAGCTTCCTCCTGGGTCACGCAGACCTCCCAGAGCCCCATGAGCCAGGTCTCCATTTCATTCAGCTCCAGGTTGAGCGTCTTCCACTGGGGCAGGACGGTGGTGGCACAGGAGCAGACCCAGCCCAGGAGGGAGAGAAACAGCCCCCCGAGCTGAACTCCTCCCTGGGAACTCCAGGCCATACCTGCGGCCACCACAGAAGCAGAAGGCAAAGGAGGACGGGTGGCTCAGTGACTGGCGAGCTGGGACTACTTCCCGGGAGACCTGAGCGGGAGGACTGTCACGTTGTTTGGAGAGGGTTCTTGTGTTCGTTTCTTTGTGCTGCAGCTGAGGCAGGTGCCGCGAACTTGGCAATGCTCGGGCTTAGGGGCGTGTGTCAAGATCAAATGTGGGTGGGGATTCTGGAGGGGTAAAAAAGCCATCTGTACATATTCAATGAACGATTCCATAGACCTAAAGTTAAAACCTTCTCCCAGCTCTGAGATCCTAAGGATGAAGTTCTGGGAGGATATATTGATATAATTTTTCTGGAGGACCACATAACTTCATGCTTCATAATTTAAATATGTATATCCTTTGATTCAGCATCATATCTTCTGGAGTTCACCTAATCTATTGTCAATGTAGGCAAAGATTTCTGAAAGTGTCCACTGAGATAGTGTTGATAATTGTACATTTTGGTTAATATGAGGCGACCGTTTTAAAAATTTATTTATTTATTTATTTTTGGAGAAGTTTTTGCTATAGGGTGTGTGTGCTCACCAGAAAGATGGAGACAAAGAGACAGAAAGCAAGAAATCACCCCCAGGGGGGATGGCCATGCCACAATCTCTTCTCCTCCATTCTCTTCTCGGGATCTTGGGCATACATGCACATGTGCCCAGAGTGAGTCCCCAGGTCTGGGACTCAAACTGCGGTCGACTACATGGGAGTCCAGTGACATAACTATTATGCCAACTGCTGGTCCCAAGGCAACCATTTTAATATAATGTTAGACCAAAAATATTTTAAGTTATTTATTTATTTTTACCTTATCTATTTATTCATTTATTTTAATTTGACCAGAGAGAGAGAGTGAGAGCAAGAATGAGAGAGAGGGAGGAAAAAAAAAAAACAAGCCTCCAGGTCCTGGACTCAACCCGTGGTTGGCCATGTGGGAGTCCAGTGCCCCTAACCACCATACCACCTGCCAGCCGTTAGAGAAAAAAAATTTAATGACACAGTAATGCTTTTGACAGGTGAAATGAGAAAATCAGGTGATCAAACAGTTCATGAATGTGATTTTATTTTCTTGAAAAGTACACATATGAACTTCAAAAAATTCACAGAAAATATATAAAAAAACTATGTACAGATTTGACTTTTTTTTTTTGGAGAGGTTTTTGCTATAGGGCGTGTGCGCTCGCCAGGGAGACCGAGAGAGA